TGGGAGAGAAGGCATGAGCGTATTGGCTGGTGATGCCTATAAAAGAGAGAAGCCAGTGGGCACTATTCTTAGAAGCAAATCCATACAAAGAGAGATGGTCAGGCTTGCCCATCTTCAAAGAGGATAGTCACAGCTGAGAACTCCCCATCTCACCCAGGCAGGCCGGAACAGAGAACTATTCAGTGAATGGGTCCCATTTCAGCCACACTCCCAGCAGGTTTCAACCATGGTATTCCCAGGAAAGTGGGCCCAAACTCTCAGTCTGTTCATGGGGCAGAACTATTTGCAATAAAGTGAAGGCTCCTGGAACTCAGAGGATTAAGCCTAGATTAACCAGAACCAACCTATGCACCTTCCCCAGAGTGCCCCAGCACCCGAAGGGGAGGGTGTGTTTCTGGAAGGTAGGCAGGGTTCCAGCCACATCTGGGAGAAGCCAAGAGCTTGCAAGCCGGAGGGCTTTGGGTGTGATGTGGCCCAGCTGCTACTACACAGATCAGGAATCGGTGGCCCAGAGAAAGGGAGAATTGGTCCTTGGTCACTCGGGTACTTATAAGCAGATAGGCCTGGGACCCCGCTGGTCTGTCCAGGGCTCTTCCCTCCGTACCACCCAAGCCTACAGATCCCGAGTTGGGCCTGGCTCTTGTTGACCCTCATACCTTTGCGTATGCACCCAGGACACCTTCCCCTCCACCTCCCCCAGGTAAGCCCCTACCCACTCTTCAGTTTTCACCCTGGGATCACCTTGCCTAGGAAGCCCTCTTGGGTGCCCTCTTTGTTTGTCTTTGTGCTCCTGAGGCCTCTTTCATGCACATCACAGCTCTGGTCACACGGGACTCTCACTGTCTGCTTACATGCTTGTCTCCCCACAAGGCGCGACCCCCTGAGAACAGAGTCAATCTGCCCCATCCTCATGTCTCCGCCAGCCTGGTCAGGTCCAGGGCACAGTTAAAGGCTGGTAAGTAAATGTCTCTTCAGTAGAGGAACAACAGACTTTGGTATTTTAATCTCACTGCTTTCCTCCAACCTGATTCCCATTTTCTTTGTGTCCAGCGCTGTGCTTGGTGGGAGAAAGAAGGGGAAGACTGGAGGTCCAAGCCCCACCCTGAAGAGCTTCCAGTCCAGACCAGGGCAAGTGTGTTAAGTCAGGGGTGCGCTCAGGGTTATTACTCAGAGACCTGGGTGCCAGGATTGGGAGCACTAGACGGGGCTGGAACTGGTTTTCCCCTGGCCTGAGTGCCCATGCAGCAGGCAGACCCTAGGAGGGAGCTGCCTGCTTCCCTAGGTCTTCCCAGCCTGTTGTAAAGCTGTGAGGCCCCCTGCCCTGAAGAGCTCCCAGCCCCCATTGCACAGCTCCAGGGGGGGTTTCTTTTCTTTTTTCTTTTTTCTTTTTTTTGAGACAGAGTCTTGCTCTGTCACCAGGTGCCAGGCTGGAGTGCAGTGGCACAATCTCAGCTCACTGCAATCTTCGCCTCCTGGGTTCAAGCGATTCTCCTGCCTCAGCCTCCCAAGTAGCTGGGACTGCAGGTGCATGCCACCATGCCCAGGTAATTTTTGTAATTTTTAGTAGAGATGGGGTTTCACCATGTTGGCCAGGATGCTCTCAATCTCTTGACCTTATGATCCACCCACCTCGGCCTCCCAAAGTGCTGGGATTACAGGCGTGAGCCGCCGCGCCCAGCCTCCAGGGGGGATTTTCTATGTGGGCAGCATGCCCCTGGAACCCTGCTTCATAGACTGCAGTGTGAATGCCCCCACCACCGCCCAGAGCTGTGTGATGCGGCAGCCCTTGGGGGCTCAGGGCAGATGAGCCGATGGTGGGCCCGAGCAGGAGTCCTTAGCCTCACCTCTGCAGCATCCCTGTTGGTGGATGAGGGCTGAGGAGACTTCCGGCTCAGATGCGCCCCTGCCCAGGACAGTCAGGGCGCTCCCAGCTCTGTGTCTCTTCCCAGCCTCCCACCTCAGCCTTCATCCCTGCCAGGCTGGAGATGGCAGTGGCCCCCCGGCTGAACAGGCCCCGGGATGGTAGCCATGTAGGGGTTGACCACAAGATGCCCAGTTACTGCAAGGCCATATTTACATTTTCCAATATCAGGCAAAGAAGTGGCTAATGTAGAAAAAACAAATGGTTACTCCATGTAATAGTGGCACCGCCAAGCCGTTGTGTGCCAGACACTATACATCATTCTTTTTTTTTTTTGAGACAGAGTTTCACTCTTGTTGCCCAGGCTGGAGTGCAATGGCACGATCTCGGCTCACCACAACCTCCGCCTCCTGGGTTCAAGCAATTCTCCTGCCTCAGCCTCCCCAGTAGCTGGGACTATAGGTGCTCGCCACCATGCCCAGCTAATTTTTTTTGTATTTTTAGTAGAGACGGGGTTTCACCAGTGTTGACCATGATGCTCCCTATCTCTTGACCTTGTGATCCACCTGCCTCAGCCTCCCATAGTGCGGGGATTACAGGCGTCAGCCACTGTGCCTGGCCACATCATTCTTAACTCTCACACAAATTCTGGGGAAAATGTGTAATTAGTCCCATTTTGCACACAAGAAAACCAGGGCTCAGAGAGGCTCAGGGGACACAGGCGACACTGTGTCACGGCAGAGCTGGGACTGGAGGGTGTCCTGCCTGACACCAGAACTTTCCATCTGTTCCCCTCTACGGCCAATCACCCTCTGGCCTCAGGGGCTGTAAAGGCAGCAATGGATTAGGTCTGAAGTCGCTTTGACCAGTCCAATGTGAGCAGAGCGCTGTACAGTAAGGGCCCCTACTCAAGGCAGTGGACCACCCTCTCCTGCAGCAGACAAGAGCTGTCTTCTGTGTGCTGCATGTCAGTGTGGCAGTGTGTACATGTGGTGGTGCATACATGTAGCTGTGTGTGCATGTGGCCTTGTGTACATGTGCCACATGAAACAGTTATGCGCCCTGGTCCCCAAACCGCCAGCGTCAATTTCACTCATTCACACAGGCACTAAGAGCAGGGACCCTAGGAGTCACACTGCCAATTCACGTCCCAACCCTGCCACCTATCTGTGACCTTGGGTGAGTCACTTAAACTCTCTGTACCTCTGAGTCTTCATCTTTGCAATGGGAATGAGAGCTTCTAAGAGGAAAATTTGCAGAGGTCTCTTGAATGGCCAAGATGTCTGTGGAAACTTATAGGATGTGGGCAAACAAGGCATTGAATCTTTCCTCACAGTTAAGTGAGTTTCTATACAGGACCTGTGCCGGGTAAGTGCCATATTACTTATATTAGCCACTGTATTTTTCAGTGAAGACATACTGAGCACCTGCTGTGTGCCAAGGAGCATGACAGGGGCTGGGCCACAGTGCTAATCAAGACAAGCCCAGTCCCTCCCTCAAGGGGATCACAGTGTTTTGAGGCTCCTCAAAGCGTCTCCTTCCTTCATCCGCGAATGTGCACTGACAGAGGGACAGGGATGACTGGGGCCAACGCACCTTGGAGGATGGAGGAAGGAAGAGGTGATTGGGGACCCCACCCTCCCAGTTTTCTTCCTGTCACTCTGACTGCACCTTCTCAAGCGCTCTTGTGCTCCCTGTCCTCTGCCAGCCCCAGTGCTGTGGGGTGCCCAGGACTCTGTGCTCCAGCTCTTCTCCCTTCCTGACCACCCACACCAGCCCACCCGCCTTCTCCCATCTCTGCACAGATGGCCCCTACATCTGTGCTTCAACCCGGCACCCCCAGCCACTCAGTCACCCAAGCCAGGAGCCTGGGAGTCCCGTCTCCACCCCCCACGCCCACCCCACCCAGCCACTCCCTAAGTGCTATCGACTCTACCTCCGGCATCACTCTTTTTTTTTTTTTTTTTTTTTTGGGACGGAGTTTCGCTCTTGTTACCCAGGCTGGAGTGCAATGGCGCGATCTCGGCTCACCGCAACCTCCGTCTCCTGGGTTCAGGCAGTTCTCCTGCCTCAGCCTCCTGAGTAGCTGGGATTACAGGCACGCACCACCATGCCCAGCTAATTTTTTGTATTTTTAGTAGAGATGGGGTTTCACCATGTTGACCAGGATGGTCTCGATCTCTTGACCTCGTGATCCACCCGCCTCGGCCTCCCAAAGTGCTGGGATTACAGGCGTGAGCCACTGCGCCCGGCCCGGCATCACTCTTGAATCCACCCATTTCTCTCCAGCCCCGCCAGGCCCCCTTTAGTCCATCTGTAGTAGGTGTTGTTGGCGCCTCACCCAGACCCCGTTTTCAACCCAGGACATTTGTCTACCGGCTGCGGGTGGGGTTGGCTGTCAACAACTCACAGCTGTGCCCTTCTACGGAGCAGTGCCCTCAGTCAATGGGGACCAAAATGCCATTTTATCAGGAAATGCCTGGGGGGCTACACTCTCCCCCCAGGTGCAACCCTCGATCAGCAGGTATACCCAGGAGCAAAAGCCGCCCCTCATGCCCTGACAGCTCTGCAGCCCAGGGCAGGCACCAAGCTCCCCAGGGGGTCGGGTCCAGACCAGACTTTGGCTGTACCACGTCCTCACCTAGGTTCTGCTCCTGTCCCACCCTGCTGCCCTCACCCTTCATGTGTGTCCCTGAAAGTGCTCAGACCCCTTCCCAGCCTTTGCCTTCCAGGAACCCAACCTAAGACCCGATCTCCCATGTGGGACCAGTCACAGTGACATCTCCAGGAAGGCAACCCAGAGGACAGATGGGGCCTGGGCTGAGGTGGAGGGCTTCTGGGGCCTGGGGAGGGGAATGCGCCGCCTTACCCTCAGGCTGGCCTGAAGGAACCAGCCGGAGCCCACCTGGCCTCCCGACGCTGTGATTAAGTTTTGTGCCAGATGACCGACGGGGAGCTGGAGCTTTCCCTCCTCCCCTTTTCCTTTTACTTCCCTTTCTCTTCACCTCAAAGGCTGAGCCCAAGTTAATCAGATAAATTCCTCAGCAGTCGCACCAACACTTTTTCTGAGGTTGTCTCCCCAGAGCGACTCATAATTACTCCACACTGAGACATTAAAGCAAAGGGGAAAGAAGAGCAGGAAAAAGGATGTTTTTAATTAAAATATTAATTTTTCTAACACTGATGGCTGCCCAGCTGTGGCACTTCCCCACTCAAGAGACCATCCACTCCATCCCTCTCTTCCTCAAGGTGGAGGACGGGCCTGGGAAAGGCAGCCCCCTCCCTGAACAAAGCCACCTTCCCCCTCCAGCGGAAGCCTCTCTGTCTCCCCTCCCTCACCTGCAAAGTGAGAGGTGGGGCTGCAGGATTCTACATGGGAACCGCAGAGAGAGGCCACAGGCTTTGGAGTCAGCTAGACATGGTCCGGCTCAGTCACTGATGATGCATGTGGCTCGCCTAAGTCCCCTCACACTTCTCCACTCTGGTGAGGTCCTCAGGCCAGTGGTGTCCACATCACCTGGGGGCCTGTTGGAAATGCAATTTGGACCTCACCCCAGATCAGCTGAATCAGAATCCGTTTTAATAGGATGCCCTGTGATTCATACCCACAGAACCTTTCCAGAAGCACCACTCTGGTCAGTTCAAGCTTCAGCCGTCTCCTCTGGACAATGGCTTAGCTTGCAAAGATTATGAAGTTTTACAAGAAAACAGTTTAACAATCTGTAAAGCAGGAACCTCAACAAAATGTTCACGAGTTTTTAACCGGGGCCGTTCCAGGGCGTGGTGTGAAACCTCATCTCTGGTTCAGGAACTTGACGCCATGAGCCAGAAGCTTTCCTGCTCTCTTGAACACTTTGCTTCCTGCATCTGTGGGCCCTGCCAGAAGTTCCCTGAAGGAACCAAAGAGCTTGCAAGGCAGGAAACCTTGACTGGAGAAAATAGCCACCCACGTCTGAGGCACTGACCATGGTCTGGGTGCCTCCCCTGCACACCGTGGGCTGGGGCTGCTGGTGGGGTTAGGGCTGCCGTGGGTGAGGGGAGCTCACACTCCAATGTCATGGGGATGGAACTGTCCACTCTAGACAGACAGCAACAGCCACGGGCTCCCATCTTTACCTTGCCAGTCCTTTCTGGAGTCTTTCCTAAGGACACAATTCACAGTATAGACAAGCTTCACACCAGGAAGATTCATCAGGTTACCTTAAATAGAGAGTCCGTAGAAATAACACTGAGAGCAAGGCTACGTGATTGTTAGTAAGGACCTTTCAAATCATGTGAAAGACTTTGCAACGACAAGAGAAAATGTTTATGATGTAATATGGGATATGGAACAGCTATACACTCATCCATGTTTAAAAAAAAAAGTGTATGTACAAACATACACGTATGCTGAAACCCTCATTGTGATGCACTCGGAGGTAGGGCATTTGGGAGGGAATTAGGTATAGATTAGGCCATAAGAGTGGGACCCTTATGGTGGAATTAGTACCCTTATAAGAAGAAGACAAAGAGATACCTCCCTCTTCCTTTTTCCTGAACGTGGTTGCTCGGAGGAAGGACCACGTGAGCACGCAGTGAGAAGGAGGCTCTCTACAGCCAGGAAGAGAGCCCTCATCAGTCACCAAATCTGCCAGCACCTAGATCTTGGACATTCCAGCCTCTAGAACTATAAGAAATAATTGTCTGTGGTTTAAGCCACCCAGTCTCTGGAATTTTGTTATAGCAGTCCAACCAGATAGCAGCATATTGTAAAAGACAAAACCGAGATTTTAGATAGCAATGAAAAAAAATCCAAAAGCTGATTTAAGACCTGGTTTTATACTAGAGACCTCAGAGGACTAAGGGGAGCAACTGCAAAACCAATAATTACAGGGGCAAGAAGAGAAAGAGAAACTCCCCCTCAAGATGACTGTGCAGAGTCAAATTTTAAAACGCATGAAGAAGATCGATGCCAAAGCAAAATCAACAATTAGGAGGCTTATTTCCTGCAGAAAAAAAATAAACAATAGGAAAATATTTAAATGACTCAGTAGAAGACTGTTTGGACCCCTTAAAAAACTGAAGGAAGGCTGGGCATGGTGGCTCACACCTGTAATCCCAGCACTTTGGGAAGCCAAGGCCGTGGATCACCTGAGGTCAGGAGTTCGAGACCAGCCTGACCAACATGGTGAAACTCCCACCTCTACTAGATACAAAAAAAAAATTAGATGGGCATGGTGACCTGTAATCCCAGCTACTTGGGTGGCTGAGGCAGGAGAATCGCTTGAACCCGGGAGGCGGAGGTTGCAGTGAGCTGAGATTGTGCCATTGCACCCCAGCCTGGGCAACAAGAGTGAAACTTCATCTCAAAAGACAAAAACAGAAAACAGACAAAGAGACAAACAGAAACCAACTGCAACTGAAGGAAGCCGGGCACCACGGAGCATGCCAGCCATCCCGGCCAGTCAGCCGGCTGAGGCGGAAGGATCACCTGGGCTCAGGAGTCTCAGTCCAGCCTGGGCAGTGTAGCAAAACCTTGTTCCCTTTAAAAAACACTCAATCATTGGACAAATTTTAGACTAGACATGTCCAAAGAAAAACATAGTGAATTAGAAGCCTATCTTAAGAAATTTACATAGAAAATCGTATCAAAAAATAAAGAGATGAAAAATACGAAAGCTTCATTAAAAAGAACACATAGCTAATAGGAGTTCTAGGAGAAGAGAACGAAGAAATGGAAAAGAAGCAATAGTCAAAGACATAAAAGCAGATCATTTCCCAGAATGAAAGCGAAAGGAAAATTCTCAGATTGAAAGGAAGTGACCACTGAGTGCCGTGCATCATAAAGACAGCCGAGCCTCTACCTGAACAGATGGTAGAACACTGCAGGATATAAAAGACACAGACAAAAACTTAAAGGTGACTGAGGAGAAAAGACCTGTTACCTACCAGAGAATGACAAGTGACATGGTTTGGATCTGCATCCCCACTGAAATCTCACATCAAATTATTATTATTATTTGAGATTGAGTTTTGCTCAGTTGCCCAGGCTGGAGTGCAATGGCATGATCTCAGTTCACCGCAACCTCCTCCTCCAGTGCCTCAACCTCCCAAGTAGCTGGGATTACAGGCATGCGCCACCACGCCCAGCTAATTTTTGTATTTTTAGTAGAGATGGGGTTTCTCCATGTTGGCCAGGCTGGTCTCGAACTCCCGACCTCAGGTAATCTGCCCGCCTCAACCCCCCAAAGTGCTGGGATTACAGGCGTGAGCCACAGTGCCTGGCTTCACATCAAATCATAATCCCCATTGTTGGAGAAGAGGCCTGGTGGGAGGCCAATGGATCATGGGGGTGGACATCCCCCTTGGTCTTCTCATGAGAGTGAGTTCTCACGAGATCTGGCTGTTTAAAAGCGTGTAGCACCTTCTCCCTCTCTCTCTTCCTCGTTCTCTGGCCATGTAAGACATGCCTCCTTCCTTTTTGCCTTCCACCATGATTGTAAGCTTCCTGAAGCCTCCCCAGCCATCCTTCCAGTACAGCATATGGAACTGTGAGCCAATTAAACCCCTTTTCTTTATAAATTACCCAGTCTCGGTAGTTCTTTATAGCAATGAGAGAAATGACTAATACAACAAGTTACGCAGACATCGTGCCAAGGAGAAAAGAGGCCAGAAAGACGTGGAGCAAACACTTCAAAGTACTGAGTATAAAAAAATGGAGGGTAAAATTCCATTTGCAGCTAAATAATTACTCAAGATTAAAAAGGAAATAAAACCACTGCCATACATATAAAGACTGGAAGAGTTTATACCCAAGAGACATTCACTGAAAGAAGTTCTAAGGATGTATTTCAGCAAAATACAAAGTGAACCTAAAGGGAAAATTAGGATGTGAAAAAAAAAGGGTCAATGCAAAATTGGTAAATATATATGTAAATTGAGCTATTGATCATTAACTAATAACAATGATAATCATAATGATAATCATAGTTGTGTTTGACAAAAAGATACCACGAAGATTCTAGAAAACATTTTACTAAACTTCTTTACTTGTCCACAAGGATAAGGATATTGAACATACTTGGACTTCATTAGAAGAACTTATAACTATATATACATATAGCTGTGTGTATATTGAAATACAAATGACTTTAATATCATACTCTCAATGAATGAAACAGCCAGAGAGAACTTAACACAATCATCCAACTAGCTCTACCAGACATACACAGGACCCTCTACCCAGCAACAGCAGCATACACATTCTCAAACACACGAGACCATTTCCAGGATGGACCATATGTTAGGCTACAGATAAACACTCAATAGATTCTAAGAGATACGTATCATGAAAAACATCTTCTCTGACCACAAAGGACTGAAGTTAGAAATCAACAACAGAAGTAAAACTGAACAATTTACACATTTGTGAAAATTAAACAACATATTCTTAAGCAACCAACAGATCAAAGGAGAAATCACAAAGGAAATTGGAAAATACCTAGAGACTAATTAAAATGAAAATGTCACATACAAGAAGTCACAGGACAGAGCAAAGGCAGGGCTAAGGGGGGCACTGATAGTTATCAACATTTACGTTAAACAATAAGAAAGATCTCAAATCAACAACCTAGCTTTACAACTAAACCCAAAGCTATGAGAAGGAAGAAAATACTAAAGATTAGAGCAGAGATAAATAGAGAAGCAAAAATTAATGAAATCAAAAATTGCTTCTTTGAAAAGACAACAAAATTGACAGACCTTTAGCTAGATGAAGTAAGCAAAAAATGAGAAGACTCAGATTAGTTTACAACTAAGCCCAAAGCTATCAGAAGAAAAAAAAAATACTAAAGATTAGAGCAGAGATAAACAAAATAGAGAATTTTAAAAATAGAGAAAATCAATGAAATCAAAAGTCGGTTCTTTGAAAAGATAACAAGGGCTGGGTGCGGTGGCTCACACTTGTAATCCCAGCACTTTGGGAGGCCGAGGCGGGTGGATCACCTGAGGTCAGGAGTTCGAGACCAGCCTGAGCAACATGATGAAACCCATCTCTATTAAAAATACAAAAATTAGCTGCGCACAGTGCCAGGTACCTCTGAGGAGGCTGAGGCATGAGAATTGCTTGAGACAGAGGTTGCAGTGAGCTGAGATTGCGCCACTGCACTCCAGCCTGGGCAACAGAGCAAGACTCCATCTCAAATAAATAAATAACAAAATGGACAGAACTTTAGCTAGATGAAGTAAAAAAAAAGAGGACTCAAATTACTAAAATTAGAAACAAAGGTTGGGACATTACTACCAATTCTACAGCAATAAGAAGGATTTTCAGAGTGTGATGAGCAACTGTGCACTAGTACTGGATAGCCAAGAGGGAATAAGCACAAACTCCTAGAAACAAAAACTGCAAAGATTAAATCACAAAGAAAGAGAAACATCTGAATAGATTTATAACTAGTGAGGAAATTAAATCCATAACCAAACATCTCCCAACAAAGAAAAGCCCTGGACCTGAAGGCTTTACTGGTAAATTCCGCCAAATATTTAAAAAAAAAAAAAAAGAATGAACACCAAATCCTTGCAAAACTTTTAAAACTGGGAACACCTTTTTTTAATTAAAAAAATTTTGTTTTGAGACGAGGTCTTTCTCTGTCACCTATGCTGGAGTGTAGTGGTATGACCACAGCCTCCCATGTAGCTGGGACTACAAGCACACGTCTGGCTAAATTTTTATATTTTTTGTAGACCTAGGGTCTCCCTATGTTGGCCAGGCTGTTCTCAAACTCCTGGCCTCAAGCGATCCTCCAACCTCAGCCTCCTAAAGCGCTGGGATTACAGGCATGAGCCATGGTGCCCAACCAAAACTTTTTAAAATAGGAAACAAAGAACAGTGGAGAGCTACAGAGGTGAAATGATTTCATCTACCGTAACCGCACTGCAGAGTCTCATCTTTACATTCTGTAAAAGCTTTTCTTCCTATCTGTCTTTGAAAAGTTATAACTCGTTTGGGTAGTCTCATTGCATCTGATTTTTTTGGCGTTTTGAGGGTGGACTTTAGACAGTTGCATGGATGTGTTGACCAAGGGGTTGGGGAGAAATCTTTGCCAAACACTTTTAGGACCCCGGCCTCATGTTTATCCTCCGAGTGCCCAGTGAAGCGGGGGGTGCAGGACCATGGCGGAGGCTCAGAGGGGCAGGCACTTGTCTGTGGTTACGTGATGACTAATGGACAGCTAGAAATGGAACCCAGGTTGCCTGCCCTCACCACCCCAGCTTTTCCCATCTCCCCAGACCACTCCCAAGCTGCAGGGAGATTGTGAGGTCTCCTTCCTGGGGCTGATTCAGACCAACCTTGTGGATGAGACCTTGTTCCCCAGACCAGAGACAGGGGATGCCAATGCCCCAGGGGAGGCTGTTTAGCAGTCCATGCTCCCCTCACTGTCCCCTGGGGAGTCTGGTAGATCTCATAAGCAGACAGAGCTGTGGCATTGATGGACAGAGGACTGTCTCCATCACCTGGTGCCTGAGGCTCACCTTTACTTGCAGTCAACGGGAGGATGGTCTTACAAGACCGGACATAGAGCGTTCAAGGCGGACAGGAAAAATAGCTCTTCTTAGAAAATCATCATTCTTCTTTGCAGCTGCGTAAAGTGAGGCCCAGCCATCCTTTAGTTAATATCTCCACCTACTTGGGAAGAAAGGTAAATCATTGACAACTGCTGGTGAGAGTGACTTGGCCCAGCACTGCGCTTATAAAACCCAGGACTGGTAAATTCTCTCGTCTGTGAAATGTCCTTCCCCAGAGAGCTTCTAGAGCACACAGGCATCCAGCGATCTGCGGGCACAATTAGAGCAGAGGCTGGAGGCAGCTCTGGGCTCTCTGCTAGCCCAGCTCTGCCACTTCTCTCCCTTTGTGGGCTCCCATTGACTGAGTCAGGATGGCATCAGGTTCCCCCATGAGCTCTGACCTAATGGGTTGGACTCT